ATTAATGTTCGCGACCGTGTTTGAACTTAATTGTTTAAGTATTGATATTTAACGTCATTTACAAATACCAATAAAATAACCCCATGAAATAAATGAGATATATTGAAAAATATGAAAGCCCACCAAGACGAGTTTCATACCTGTTATTACCTGGCTTGGGAATTGCAGCGGTGCATAATTAACAGGTTTGTTGTAAACGAGCTTTTGGTCAACTACAATGCATTTAAAATGCATCAGCAATCAGTAAGTTTGCCAGCTGATGACAGTCTGAAAGACTACCAGCTCTTGATATGATCTAAACCACCTGAGGTGACCATGATCTAGAGCATCGCAACTATTGTCACCGAAGTTAGTAAGTCACGGAAGACCGTCACAGACAAAGAAAGATTGTCAACGAGAGCTGCAATTTTGGTGAATCCCACGGCAACACACCGAGGCATAACGAAAATTCCTCAACTCCGTTCAACACAACTTTCCTTAACTTCTCCGTCTGTATGCACCATTGCAGCTCAGTTGAGTCTCATAGACCTTTATCGTGATTGTCGTCACAGTACCACGTGACCCAGATCTGTTGCTTCATTTTTGCATATTGAGGTGAGGTTTACTAAAACGCTTTTTTTTCTACTAATAGATTGTTATTATAATTTTTAAATGGCGGGGATCGATTAAAACATATCTCTAGTGTATAGATTGAGTGCTGTATCTTCAAAATTCGAGAAATGGATTTTTACATGAACATTGTCCTTTAAGCCTGGATGACAAAGCATCCTCATGTTTGGCCTTATTTGAACACTGAAGCAAAATATAACAACATTTTCAGAATGAATCAGAATATAACAAAATTTTCAGAACTACTCTGTTGATGACTTTTGCTTTTTTTGGATTGTCCCGTACAAAGTTGAATGATGACTATGAACTTCTTATATCACACTATATTAGTAAAAATTATGGTATAAAAAATAGCACACAAATACATTTGTTATTCAAATTTGATCAACTTATGTGGTATATTGAACAGGTGTATATTGGATGCACTCTTGGAAAGCATGGACAATTCTATTGAGAAGAGCACACAGCCTGCAAAGGAAGGAGAAAAGAAAGAGGAAGAAAAAGAAGAAAAAGCAAATACTGAACAGAGGAGTTCCGGAGAAACCGCCAGGATATTGAACTTAACTGCATACCTCGTGGCACATCCACCAATCAAATCCCCTGTACTACAGCTGATGAGGGGAGAAACCAAGGCGGAGGAGAAATACAAGGACTTATTTCCTAGATTGCTTAACTTGCTGAATGTGGTGTCAGAGAAACAGTCCCATATCAATGCACAGGAGTGTATTGTGGTGAGTGTGTGACCTGTACACTATATACCTTATGTCCTTTGTCCCTAGAACCTGACAAAGAAAGTGTTTAAAGTGGAAAACATGTCTTAGCTAAGCCAACAATGACTCTAAGTCAGCTGTATTTCTTTTCACGAGGAAATTTTTGAACCATTTACCTTTTTTCCCATTCAGAAATTTGTGGGCGCTTAGACCAAGCATAATTATTTTTGCCAGCAGTCTTAATTAGAGCTCACCTAAATTTGTTGTAGGCTAGTTGACAGTGTAATGTTTCAGTCTTATATTGCAAAGTTAAAATAATATTCTTAGTCACCTAATAGTATATGAGTTCAGCAATCTAAACAAAGCCCAAAAACTTTAAATTGGTAACCTTGTGTATTGGAAACCTATGAATCTCAAACCATTTGTGGGAGGAATGAAGCAGTTATGCAACATTTTATCTCAGATAACAGATTCACATGAAAGAAGGTTCAAATTTTACACATTTCCTTCATGAATTGGGGAGTATTTATGTGTTGAGAAGCCAACAATATCAAACATCATTTGGTGTAGGAGATTAAGCTCCAGACTGTGTTATTACCCATTATGCCACAATTTATCTCAGTTAAGCATATCTTAAATGAGGTGCGAATTCAGAGATATTTTCTGACAGTCTTCCAAATTATCTTTGTTGATCCGTTCTTCATTTTTGACTGTCTTCCGACAGAAAAAAATTGATACTCCTCAATTTAAACTTGAAAATCTGGCCGTCTTCTGGAAGACCCAGAAGATGCCTTTAATCTGCCCCTGTAAATGTTCAAACCTTTCCTGTTCTGTCTGCCAGTCTGTGCTGCAGTCCCTGTGTGATCCCGCTGTCACCATGATCACTGCAGAGAGCAGTCTGACCCTGCAGGAGCAGATCGCCAGCAGTCTGCCTATCAAAGAGCAGCTGATGCAGCAGTGCACCGCCATCTTGGAGCACATAGGAAACCAAGATCACAGCTACGCCTCCATCCTGCCGTCGCTGAGAACTCTGGTCATGCTAACGGAACATGATTATGGATTTTATCATGTGAAAAGGTGATTATTTGAGACAGACTAGTTTTGCTTCTTGGTTCATTGTGATTTTTTTGTATTCATTGTCACCAAACATTGCAAATCATAAGGACTTTTAAGTCATTTGTATCACAAAAATGTGGAAAGAAATAAAATATTTCTCTGAATTATCCTTTTAAGAATTAAAATTGAAATTGTTAGATATTTTAGCTCCAACTCTAAGAAATCTCTCTCTCTCTCTCCCTCTCTCTCTCTCTCTCTCTCTCTCTCTCTCTCTCAAAAAAAAAAAAGTCTTAACCTCTGTCATCTATTATTCCAGTGCAATGGACAGCAACAGCATGGCCCTGTTCAGTCTCTTCCTACGTATTAACAACACCTTCAGCAAGGACAGCTCAGACTGTATGTCCACCCTGTCCACTGCTGTAGAACTCCTCCAGCTCCTGTTGGCCTCTGACCAGCCACCCCCTGGGGACGAGGGCCTGGGGGAGGCAGAGGAACCCCCAGGGGAGTACAGGAAGATGTCCATAAGTATTGGAGAGCTGAAGAAATATCTGAACTGGACGCCGGAGGTCCAGCCACACCCTCTGGATGACCTGGAAAAACTCCTAGCTGTAAGACTGAAAGATGAATACTTATTTTTATGAATCATTTCTTTATAGGAAAGTTAATCTGTTTTAACTGTTGCTTTACTCTAATTTTACTTCAATAGAAAATAATTTGATAAACAACATCTCAGAGCATTTATCATTTTGTTAAAACAACAGTGGTTTGGGCATTTTTCTGACATCAGAAAATGTATTTTGGCAACTGTCACAGAGCAATTGTAATCCAAGGTGAAAAAAAGTGCCTACAGAATTCAGCGTGCATTCTGTGATAAGAGAAAGCCATGCAGTAATAGAAAAAAGTCTGATTAAATTGTTTGGTAGATCAAAAAAATGTGTCTTAAACCAACCTCTATCTTTCTTTTCATTCCAGGAGTATGTGAAGGAAGAAGAAAGTTTAGATGGTCTCTTGGATGGCATATCTGGTCTGGTGCTGACTCTGAAGACTGAAGAAGGTGGACAGCCACAGGGTAAGCAGTGGCAACAGTTGTCTCCTTCATGCAGTTGTTGATATGTAGCAGTCAAAGTTTTCCTAGACACTATTTGTTTTATTCAATTAAGTAAAAGGAAAACAGATAATACATGAATAGTGAAAATGCCAAGACCCAGAAAAAAGGAATAAACACAGGGGTGGATCCAGAGCTATTTTTGACAGTCTTCCAAATAATCTTTATCCATCCTCCATTTTTGACCGTCTTCCACCAGCAAAAATTAGATACCCGTCAGTGTAAATTGAAAATCTGACTGTCTTCCAGAAGACCCAGAAGACAGCCTCAATCTGCCCCTGAAACATGTTTGATGAGCATATCAATATGTTATCATGTAGTCTTTCCTTCTGTTCCAGATTTTGCAGAACCAGTATTGCCAGCTCCTAAGACATTAAAAGAACAGTTTGACCTGCGGTTGACCTGTCAACTAGGAGACGTGGATGAAGACAAACTGACCTTAATCTACTGGCTGTCCAACCTGGCAGTGGACGACTCGGACCAAGAACTGGACATGGTGGGTCAAAATGACCAGGGCACTTTGATATAAGTTGGTTTGGTCCGAAAACTGGGGTGTTCAATTTTTGGTGATGGTGGAAATGATATTACCTGATATACATCTGAAGCAGAGAAAAAGAAAATGGATCTTGATAAGATAGATTTTTTTAGTTAATTGTTACCATGCATGTGGTTTAAACTTCCACTTTCATAAAAATCAGCACAAAATTAAATCAAGTTGGCAATAATTCTGCTATAGTGGTAAGCAGCAGTATGGTTCAAAAGCGATTTTTCATTTTCTATAGGTTGAAGAAGATCTTGAAGAGATATCCCAGAAGTATTGTCCAGATTTTGATGTTAAAAATGAGCTGCGGAAAGGCAAACTGCCATCTGAAATGGACAAAACAAAGTTGAAAAGGAGACCTAAGTATGATACGTTATAACAATATATGCAGGCCCGTAGCCAGGGGGGGTTCGGGGGGGTTCAAAAGAACAGCCCTTTTGCTGGGAAAAGGTCCACTCTGGGTAAAATTTGATCTAGGTACATGAAGTTTTTATGGGAAAGGTCCATTTGTTCAGAAAAAGAACCCCCCTTTTGAAAACGCTGGCTACGGACCTGATATGGATAATGTCAATATACATATATATCAAATGTTGAAATGATAAACAAGTCCATAAGCTTGTAAAATGAAATTTTTAATGATTTTCCCCACTTTCTCACCTTTTGGGAAGGGACCATGCATGCCTGAATCCTCCATTATATTAAAAGATAGGAAGGGAAATGGGGAGGGGCAAGATCTCCCTGTGGAATTGCTACATACTGATAGCTCATACTTTATGTCTTCAGTAAAAGAAGAGGCATAGATACTATTAATACCAGCAGCCTGAGAGGAAGACAGTTTGGTAATTTATGTTTGAACTCTGCATTACACACTTATATTTAAAATGCTAAAGAGTGTCGATTGTTATTTTTGATTTAATCAGCATTTATCTTTTTTTTTTTTTTTTTGCTCACATTATTTAGCCTGGAAGCCTAGAAGCTGTAAGATTTTATGCAAATCAGTTTTAAAAGAGAATAGTGAGAAAATTGATGGAATGGACAAGATTTTTTTAAAGAATATCTCATCAGTATTTAATTATTGGGAAAGGTTAACTCTCACAGGTTAACCTCTTTCAGCATGATGAGATGCAGCTATGTGCATGATTCTATTTTCATTGTCATTTATCACAGTGGCCCCCATGAGAGGGAGAGGGTTTGGACGAGGAATGATGTCCAACAGGCACGACCCCTTCAGGTCAAGGCCACCCAACACGAGCCGACCTCCTTCCATGCATGTAGACGACTTTGTAAAGCTTTCAAGTCATGGGCAAGGCAACATGGATACCAAACGCCAGGACAAGGTAGAGTGACGCTGTTGTTCATGTTTATGTACATAGGAAAGCTGAGCTCACACAAGCTTGCAGAATTTTTATCAGTGGTTACGAATATAGATTTTGGCAGAAAGAAATGAAACTGCTTTCTGTCAAATATGTCATAGATTCAGAAAGGAATCATTTATCCTACAAATTTAATTAAAAAACTGAAACAAAAAGTTCTTCAAGTGAGCTTAGCAAAGTATTTTCTTGTGTTTTTTGGACACAACTTTTCAGTATAAAAAAAAAATTGTGATAAATGTCAGTCAAAAGGCTGGCTATTGAAAGTTGAGTCATATGTTTGACTTGTCCCATTTCATTGTTGTAGAGTATCCACAACATTCCCAGTATCTCCAGTAGACCTAACTACAATGTGAGTACACTCTTCCATCTCGTGACACTGTGCAGTGTGACACTGGGATGACACTCGGGGACTCTGCACTGACATTTCAATGACACCGACATAAAAGCGACACTTTTGACTCCTCAGCCACACTATTTTGATTTTTGACTTACTTTATGAACAATTTCAATATTATCTGTTGATTGAGGATAAAAAATACTACTTTATTTTTATACAATAACACAGCTAATGAAATTCTTCTTTGATTTACTCTTTGCTTTAGTATTATAGCGACACATTTAGTAGTGTAACACTGGGATAAAAAACAAGTCACTTAGCTATGACACCAATTGGACTCTTGAGGGACAGCTTTCACTCTAAACTTAACGCAGCTCTTACACTTGAGTGGCAATATTTTCAATCATGAACACATGTTTGACTTGGGTACGGACTGTTGAGTGATATTGTGTGTCAACTCTAAAGCAACACTGATTGATTTCTGATTCGCTTTTTGCTTTGACATTATAGCGACACTTTTAGTGTTTTGGCAATTGGAGTGGCACTGGAATGTTCTTTTGGAGCCAGTCAGAATAGAAGATCCGAGTATCAACTGGCCCAAGGCTCAAATATGGCGGACCCTACATGAAAGGAAGACCGTTTAATCCTGTAATGGTCTCTCTGCCTCTCACACGCCTCCCCATGCGTTGTCCCTGCTGGAGCACAGTAATTAAATCTCGGCTCCATTCCACCAGACACGAGGGGAGGCATGTGAAAAGCAGAGAGGATTAAGCAGTATACCTTTCATGTAGAGTCTGCCATATTTAAGCCTTGGACCAGTTGATACTCAGATCTTCTATTCTGAATGGCCCCTTTGACACTTAGAATATCTCTGGCATTGTAATAAATAGGCTGAGTTTGGTTATGTGTTGGTTAAGTCATGGGAAATTGGTTGCTATTGTGTCTTCTGATAGACATGACATCAGACATGTTGTTTTTTTTTGTTTTTTTTCGATTTAAA